CTGAAAATAGATGGTCTAGTTGGAGAATTTGGATGATAAATAGACTGAATACGAGGACTGCGACCGATGTGGATAAGACGTGGTTGACAGAAATTAGACGGTCGACAACAGTGGACAGGTAGAGAGAAGCGAATGAGTGGAAGAAACACAACTTTTTGAGAATTATGAATGTGGTTTTGATGGTGGATATATCATCAGGTGGAGGAGAATAAAATATTTTCAGTACTAAAATATCGATTTTCAGTATAAACTCTCTAACTAAATTAAACTGCTCGAGAGACTTTTAGCAAATGGAAAAATATGACTATCCAACTGATTTGAAATGGAATTAGGCTTGAAGAGTGTTCATCAAATTGTCCCAATATATTTTGTTTTTGATTTGTTGCACACATATTAAGAAAATTAATAAGTATGCATGCGTAGATTTTAGAGGAAAAAAAATATATAGTTTGACTAAAATACACATGGTATTAATTTTTTAAATCAATTCTCTTTATATTAATTAAAAGTAATAAGAGCAAAATTGAGAAAATATTCATTAAAGCATCAATGAAATTGTAAACTCACATGTAATATATGGCAGAAAAAAGAATTAATATGTACACCTCGGAACGATAATTATCATTTCGCAAATTAGAGAAAATCTTCGTAATTTAAGCATAACTCAGAGATTAGTTCGTAATTTACCCTTTTATGTTTGTAAGTACACAAAGTAGAACCAGGGGCGGACCCACGTGTTGGCTTGGGGCTCCAGCCCCCAGCATATATTTTTTTTTTTACCACTTTTTTGTGAATTTATTTTATTTTATTTGTTATTTATCTATTCATTTACTTTGGCCCTCTTAATATTTCAATTTTGTATATTTTAGCCCATAATTGTTTTTTTTTGTTTTAATTCACACCCATATTTTGGCCTCCACCAAAAAACCCCTAATTTCGCCCCTCCGTAGAACAACTAGCCACTGTTTCATCAATAATTCGTGCTGCTACATGCATGTATCATCATTAACTATATTAATTAATTAATTAATTAATTAATTAAGCCATTAAAGTTTTTCTTGTTGTCATTCATACCTCTAAATTCTTTGATTTATTAGAGTGCAATTAGTGAGTCAGCATGACTGTTAAACATACATTTAATTAATGATGGTGAAAATTCCCGACCTATATAAATTACACTACATAAGTTCTTTTGGCCTTTTCTTAATATTCTGATTTTGTGTTATTTTTATAAATTTTATAAAGTTTTCTATATATAAAAAGAATAATACTTATGATAAAATATTAAAATCTGATGTCTTCAATTATAGACAATAATTACTATTTGTTTTACTACAATATTATCATTTTAAATAAAATAATTACAGCTCATCTATTTTTTTTTCTTAATTAAAGAACCTCCTAATTATTCCAGTATAAATAAGTCAAGCTATTAAGTACTCAAAATTACTAGCTAGCCCCACCTAATAGTAGGCTAATACAACCCAAAAAAATAAATTCTTCATTGTAAAAAGAGTTTATTGACTTAGTACCCTTATGTTATATGCAGTGGCGGAGCCAGGATTTGTGGTCAGGGTGGGCTAAAATTTTACGAGGGTTCGGAAGTAGAGCCCCCAAATTTTTTGAAGAGTTTTTTTCGAAAATATAGAGCAAAATAAATAAAAATTTGTATATTTTAATTAAGTTATGTAAATTAAATTGTATATTGTCCAAAATATAATTATTGGAGCTCTTTAAATTATATTACAAATCTCTTGGGTGGGCTAATTAAATTTGATTAGGATTAAAATAGTATATAAAAGGTTAACTAAACATAATTAGTATTAAAATATTACATAAAAAAAAAATCAGGGTGGGCTTCAGCCCACCCACAAGTGAACGTGGCTCCGCCACTGGTTATATGTAATTATTAAAAAATATATATAAAGAGTTAATATTACCAAAAATTAACCCAAAAAATAATTGTAGGTCAAATGTTTTTAAAGAGTTAAATAAATATCTGTAGGTCAAATACAGAGTTAATTAAAAAAAATTGTTCATATGTACTTTCAAAAAATATTTATAGGTCGATTTGTTTTTGTTTTTAATTTCAAGATCAATCTATGGACGAATTTTGAATTTCGTAATTTTCGTGATTCAATTCTAAAATTTAAAGTACATAGTTTTAAAATTTGAATTTCACAACACTAAATGTAATAAATAGTAGGATTTTATACATTCAAATGATAAAGTTAAAGAGATAATAAATGGATACAGTAGAATTAGAAATAAAAAAAAAAAAAAGAAAAAGAAAAAAAGTCGTGTGTTTTAGTAATCTGTATTTATCATTTCAGTTGAAGTAATTATTCATATAATAAGATTATATATTATTCAAACATAGATTGATGAGGGCTTGAGTAGAACTTATTTAAGCATGCATGCATTTGTTCTAGGCTGGGGTTGGGTTAGAGTTTACTGCTGTATGTATCTGTAATTCTGTATGTATACATTTTGGGGGGTGGGGGGTAGGGGGTGGGGGGGTGGGGGTGGGACTGATCTCCATAGTCAAGAGAAGTCCGTGACCACTCTCTCCATGATGACAACAACTAGAGCTTTCTTCCCTTTTGTTTTTATTTCATTTCCAAATTTTCAAATCTCTCACTAGGCCAAAACAGGACACTGGCGACGAAATCTAGCGACGAAAATATGGTATTTGCGACGAAATATCAACAATTGCGACGAAAAACAATCGTCGCTAACGCTGCCAAACAATCGTCGCCAAAGCGGTCGTCGCTAAGCCTGCGACGAATCTATTTTTTCGTCGCAACATATGGCGACGAATGCATATTTCGTCGTAATAATTCGTTTTTCTGGGTTATTCGTTTTGTAGCAAATAGCGACGAAAACATATTTCGTCGCAACTATTTATCCCTCAATTCGCTACGTTTTTAATATTTTCGTCGCAACATTTATTCATTAATTTGCGACGTTTTTCTAGGAACATTGCAATTTTTTTGTTTTATTTGTTTTCGCTGAATAAAAATATAGAAATTGACCTGTAATTAATTATCAACTATAATAACACAATTAACTATTAGATATAATAACACATCACATTAAAATTGTAATTTAAGGTCGAATACATCCAAATAAAGTTAAAAAAAATACAAAAATTAAGAAAAATATTGTAGAATTACTTAAAGGAGTTGATCCACATTCTTTTATCCATTCATCATTAGTTATCCACTTGATCATAAACTATTTCCAAGCGTGCCTGAAAAAAATGTTTAAGTATATAAGCATTACGTATAAATACGAACAAGTACAAGTTCACAATATAAAATAAAATAAAATAAAATAAAGAAGAGGCGTATAATCCATTACATCAATCAACATCAACAACTACTATCTAACATGAAGAAACTGCTATCAAACCAAATGATGCATATAAAACGAAGCCTATTGCCTAAAATTTACCGTGTTATTCATACCCAATTTATAATTTACACAAAGAATCATAAACCGAAATTTTTACCATCTTTCATTATTAAAAAAACACAGTTAAAGCTTAAACAAAAATGAACGGGGATAATCATTATCCACACATTATAGAGAAGTAACATGCTTAAATTACCACTTCTAATCACGTTCTCCTAGAAATTAGATCTTGAAGCAGAGCAAGTAAATAATTCTTCCTATTCAAGAAAGCAACTTATAAACAGTGAGGTACGTACCTTGAGCAGGGGAATTCTTCTACCGACAGATAGAGTATCAACCCTACTGCACACTCACACCCGCCGCTCGCCTAATCGTCCGCCAAGAATCCGACGCCTTAAACAAATCCACGCCCCTCGCAGTAACCCGATTGGTCAAGTTCCTATCGATGTCCCTCACCAAAAAGCTGCCCCTTCGTGCCATTTTCAAGGTCTGGAGAGAATTGGGTCTGCCCGATAACTTCGAGGACTCCGTTATTTCGAGGAACCCCGACATTTTCTCGCTCCGAGATGGAAACGAGCCCAACACTCATTACTTATTGCTCGGCGATACTGTACCGTTTAAAGATTGTCTGGTTCCCGTTGTTGAGAATTGGAGGGTCCTCGAATGCTGCAACGGAGAGTGCACCGTTGATAGGACCGAGCTACAGTACATGTTCAAACACGGATTAATGAATCTTCATTAGATAAACACCTGATAGCAAAAGGAGAATCAATGGGCATATAAGTAAACATAAACATAAATTCATCTCATGTCCTCGCTAGAAAGGATATTAAGAAAAATAATTATCTAACATTGAGGGAACCAAATAAAACTCTACCAAATATGAAAGCTAAATTAAAAATTAGTCAAATCTTACATTATCATACAAAATGTCGGATTTATAGACAAAAGAGTGTTGCGGAAGTTGGGGCATTAAAATTGCATATATAGGTGCCTGCTATTTACCTCATAAATAGGTAAATTTATACCTAGAGTTTTGAGGGGGCTGGGCTTCATAGATGGTGGACGGCATCTAGCTGAACGCAGTGGCAGCGATTGGAAACGAAGGTGACGGCCGGCGACTGCAGGGGGCGTGGTCTTGGGCAACGACGGCGGCTGGAAGGACATGGGCAATGACGGCGGCACCGACTGATTTTGCAGACTGATTTCTAGAGAGAGAGATGTATCTATCGCTACGCTCTTTTCGCACGAAGGTGTATCTATCGCTACGAAGGTGTATCTATCGCTACACTCTTTTCGCACTTCACTTCATCTTGTCTTCGGCTCCCCTCTGTAATATGATGTTGAACCCCATTT